GAGTTAGCGTCAAGATTTATTTTTACCCATCTACCTGCTTAACAAGATGTCTGAAAAAATGCAAATGTGCCACTGAATTTTAGTAATAAAAAACCTTTAAAAGAGTCTGGTAAGTTATATTCATGTACCACGTCGCCGGCGGAGAGGTTTTACTCCCGAGCTTTCTGCACGGGAAAAATGAGCACGTGCTAGATATTCTTCAAACAACGCAAACCAGCATGAAGTGCCAAAGAAACATATTATCAACCCAAGCAGGCATGGCTGGACTTAAACCAACCTTTAAGCAAACCAATTGGGACAACCAAACTGTGATATAACCCGGCCGCCCATTATAATTGGTTTTCTTTCTTTTCCAGCGGCTGCAGTGGGAGTGGTAGTGACTCCATCTACGATCGTCACACCCCCCTGGGTACCCTTCTCCTTCCTCTGTATCGCCTCCGTGGATAGTGGACCCAGACTCGTATTTGCAGATGGAAAAAGAGCGATCCAGGGAGATTCACGCTTCCAGGTGGTCCGACTTAACCCAAACATCCTTCAAGTGTCGGCAAAGGACGGCTTGAGATCACAGGATGATACTGTTATTGAGTGAGCCTGAATTCATCCTCATTTCCTCTTGCTTAATCAACGTAGCTCTTACGGAAAGTCCCTGCGCCTACTGGAGTAGATAAAGAGCTAAGTAGAGCAGCACATCACCTTCTGCGGAACTACAATATGAATCGACGACAGTACTACTGAGACCAGAGCACTATCGAAACTAGCCTAAGCCATCTCAGTCAAACTGACCCTGACTTCGACTATCAACATGGTTATAAGTACGCATGTTTCATACCAAATTATCTTACCACGACTTCAAATTGAGACGACAGACAGGCCACTCATAAAAAAATAAAAATCTCAAGCATTTCAGCTGAATACACTAATTGGCCTGCTGGTGAACAGTGTGTTTAGTACGTTAGGGGCTAGGAGGACGAATACTCGCAAACATCTGTAATTATAGTTGATATGCCATATAATAAAATGATACCTAAAATTTTGAGGTTCATTTTAGGTCCAAATATATTAGTAAAGCAGGAGTGTAATGTTAATGCAGCGAAAAATATCAGTGAATCACGTGTGTGAGCTTTTAGCTAGTGCATGTCCTGGCAACCTAATGTATCCTGCAACCGCATGTCTAACTCACTATGGTCACCGAGACTGACTGGACCAGTTCTACGTTAGGAGTCAACATCCGTGGGGAGAAAATAAAAAGAAAGCACTACAGGTGATCGTAGGAAGGAAAAAATAATCAATCAGTATGATAGATAGTAGCCTGAAGTGTAAACAGCTTTTCGTGCTAAAGATTGCATACAGAATCCAACCGATACATGAGACTTTGTCACAGCCGGTTAAGAGATGCGTGCCTGATCAGAAGCGCGCAGTAAAATCTATCTCGAGTACAATTTTGAGCCGACTCGTGATACCCGTTTGAGTTTAGCAAACTAAGCACGTATAGATTGCTCTGACTTTGAATAATATCATCCACTCCATACAACTTTGATTGAAAACTGCCATCCTGACTTCTGCAGGTGCGTTATCAATTCCGGCGAGAAGGCGCAGGCGAGTATTACCATCGAAAACCCCTGTCCGCCCTCGTACGGAGCCTGTCGCAATGGGCAGTGTATCCCAGCCTCGAAGTTTTGCGACTATCAACCCGATTGCGCGGATCGATCTGACGAACATCCCACTTTCTGTGCAGGTAGTCATCTTATACTGGGTAATGATCACTGTAAAAGTAGCCAAATGATATAATGATTAATCAAATCCCCTCTCCCCCTCTCACATTTCCCCTTACAGAACCGAAACCGGGCGTGATAATCAGGCCCAGTAGTATCAAACTACCCGCGTGGACGCGATTCCAGTTCTTTTGCATCCACCCGGCAGATCAAGACGTCAGAGTAGTCTTCAGCAAGAACAATCGTGAAGTCAGCGAGGACTCGCGCTTCGGTGTGAGGAAAGTGAACGCGACCACGACTCAAATAAGCGCCCCGCAGGGCCTAAGAGACATGGATGACACAAGTATCAGGCACGTTTTTTTTCGGTTACTCTCCCCTTCAACCGATCTTCAGCATAACGTTCGAAGGTGCAGGTACCTTTCCTGTGCGTTTGTTTAAGTAGCTCGAACTGTACTTAAAATTGGCTGGAAGACATAGTAATAGGAACTCATCGCGGGGGTACAAGTGAGCTTGCAATAAGTTCCTGGAAGGATGCCTAGTTCTATATTCTTTACCAAGATCTAAACCCTAAGCTTAAGCTTGATATTATCTCTATCCGAACCCTAACTCCAATCTTCGTCGAATATAGCTTAGTATGTTTATTAAGTTAAGTTTTTAGTCCCATTTCTTATCAAATTGGCTGATGGATTGGGTTAGCCTGCCTAACTTAGCAGACTCGAGTTGCAGCAACCACAGATACACCCTAGAGCAGTTTCCTCTTTTAAAAGGCCTTGATTGAGGTAGTTGTTGAGCTCCTTGTTTGAGATAAGCCAGTAGGATATTTACTGTTTCTTGTTCCTGAATTTCATCCATACTTCCTATGCCGTTTGATGTGCGCTGCGACTTGACATAATCAGAAGCGACCAAGTTCCTTAAAATTTTGGCAAATACCTATGTTCCTAGTTCCGCGACACTAGAATTTACATCCCGCTTATGAAGTCTACCTCCGCCGTCGACGAGACTAAAGGTGTACTCGAAATATCCCCAGTCAAATGTTTGGAAGAAACCGCTAACTGAGATAAAACTTATTTTCTTTTCGGAATTTCAAGACCGCTGTTTGGGGAAGTCACCAAGCAAATGGGATGGACGATATTAGATGTTGTCAAAATGCAAAATCTAAATGGTGCCAATCATGCGATCTTTCTGAGTTCCTCGACGTGGCATCATGCTTCATAAAAGGCTTCGGTAGAGAGGTTGGCGTATCTTTTGACTTATTCGTTACGAAAGATGTCGCTTGGATAAACCGTGCTCCCCAACCCAACATGCGCTCGCTTTTCTTAGTGACAAAATAATTCGAAAGTGTGGTTATTCAGAAATCGAAAAAAATCTACGAGGGATGAGGCGTAAATATTTCAACCTGGCTGCCCGGACAATTACCAAACAGAGAAAGTACTAATTGTATTTTACCGACAAACGGAGAGCACACTCACGAGGCTTTTCTGCCTTTTTGGGCGTCATCAGGTGGTGGTAGCTCAACTCCAGTGT